CCCCCCCCCCCCCCCCCCCCCCGAGACACCAGGCACCTGCCCCCTCCCTCCCCCAGGTCAGAGAAAACCGGTCACCCGCCCCCCCCGCCCCGAGACACCAGGCACCTGCCCCCTCCCTCCCCCAGGTCAGGGACACCGGCCCCTCCCCGCCCAACCCCAGAGACACCGGCCCCTCCCTGCCCCCCCCCAGGTCAGAGACACCGGGCACCCGCCCCCCTCCCTCCCCCAGGTCAGAGACACCAGGCCCTGGGGGGGCAGCGGGTGTCTGGGCGGGTGCTGCCCTGGGGTGCTGGGGGGTGAGTTGGGGTTGTGGGGCTGGACCAGGGCTGCAGGGGGTGCTGCCTGGTAGAGGATGCCCCCAGTCGTCCCAGGGCTGGGCCCCGGCTGAGCAGGACGCCATGTGGAAGCCCAGGGGCTGCGTGCGGGGGAGGCCCAGAGCTGGGCTCCAGGAAAGGCCCCGGTGGCATGTTTCCCCATCACACATCACCCCCTTGCATGTTCCCCCCTCATACATCACCCTCTCGCACGTCCCCCCCTCGCACATTCCCCCTTGTACGTGTCCCCCCTCGCACGTCCCCCCCCCCCTCCCACAACACTAACACGCCGCCTGCTTCCCCCAGGACCGGTGACGGGAACGAGTTCCTGCTGCAGGCCAAGGACGAGGTAGGACACGGCCGGGGTCTTGCTCCTTGGGGCCAGCCGGGAGCTTCGCTGAGGGGAGCTGGGGGGTCAGATGGCACAAGGGGAACCCGACCCTGCCAACGCTCACGTCTTCCGCGGCTCCTGAGTCCCGTTTCCAGGACCCGGAGCATTCGAACCCCTTCCCCTCGCACTCGGGGCCCAGAGCCCGGCCCGGCCGACGGGCACAGCCGCAGCCGGGGGCCGGCCAGGAGTCAGAGCAGAGTGTGCCCAGGCGGGTGCCTCTCGTGGCAGGGTGCCGCGGGTCGGAGGATGGGCAGCGCTGGTTCTTTGGGCCCTGACTGGGTGAAGTTCCACTCGGCCGGGGAGCCGAGCCCTGTGGCCGGGACGCCTCGAGCGTTCCCGGCCGGGAGTCGGGGCAGGAAGGCTGGTCCTGAGCCGTTCCAGCAAGTCGAGCTGTGCTGCTTTCCCGCGCTGGGGGGCCAGCCAGGCGTGCCCAGCCCCAGCCAGCCGGTGTATTGGGGGGCCGGGGCCAGGGTGGGTTCAGACAGCCAGAGTCTCTGCCCCCCCAGAGGCTGCGCGGGGGGTGGCAGCAGCTGGGGGTTCACGCGGCTCTTGCGTCTCTGTCCCGCAGGAGGAGATGAAGAACTGGCTCCAGGCGCTGGCTGCCTCCGCCGAGGAGCATGCCGAGATCGCCCGCTGGAGCCAGGCGCTGCTCACCACCTCCTCCACCGACGAGGGCAACCCGCGGCGGGAGAGCGACCGGCGGGCCAGCACGTCCGGCAGGAAGAAGTGAGGCGGGCGGGGCAGAGTGCCGGGGGCTGAGAGCGGACCCACGCCGCCCCACGGTCTGCAGCCTCCCTCCGAGCCAGCCCCTCCGTCTGCGCCCGTCCCGGACAGCCCCTGGACATGGGTGCCCTCGCACGCCCGCTGCAGGAAGCTGCGCCCGGGGAGAGGAGGGCCCCAAAACACACTCTGTTTGCATTCGGTGCCCGGAGGAGCCCAGCCCGTGTCAGCGGGAGCCGCCGGCCGGCCCAGCTCCTCACCACGGGATGATATATGCAAACCCGGCACCGTGTGGGGCTGGGAGGGGAAATCCACCGGACTCAGAGACTCTGCGCAGTGGGGAAGGGCCTGGCCCACTTCATTTCATCCCCTGGGGGGCATGCAGGAACCTCCCCCTCTCCCTGCGTGGGGCGGGGCCCAGAGAGGGGCGGGCAGTTCTGGTCCCTCCCCGGGCTGCGGGGGAGGGGTGCTTTTCGGGCAGATGCTCCCAGGGGGTTCAGCATTTTGGGTAATTCACATAAGGGAACCGGGCACCTGGCCCTCGCTGAGCCTGCTATGAACGTGGGCCCGTCGCACGGGGGCTGGGTTCTGAGCACACTCAGCGCTGCGTTTCCACGGCTCTCGGCCCGTTCACCTTTGGCAGGCCATGCGTAGCCAGCTCGCACCCGAGCCCGAGGCGGGACGAGATGGAAACGGGTGGGGGTGGTGCTGGCTGGGATGAGGAGAGTCTGCTGCAGCCAGTGGGGCTCCTGTTTACACCGGCTCTGGATTTGGCCCACGCCTTGGGATTGGGGGAGGGAAGGGGGCAGGGCTGGGGCTGGCCTTCGGGTCCATATAATGGTGTGCTGGCCCCTTAAGGCCCAGCCTAGGCCCCCACGCCCCCGGCCCAGGCTGGGCCAGCCAGGGATCGTGGGGAAGGGGACTGAGTTCGAGGTTGGGTTGTTCCTGGCTGGCCCAGCCTGTGCCAGGACCAGCGTGCTCTGGCCTGTTGCTGGCAGGCAGCTCTCGGTTCTGCCACCACCTCACCTCCCTCTCCTTGGCAGCGCCCGCGACTCTGGATGGGGCAGGCGTTTGGAGAGGGCATCCTGCCTCCCTGGCCTGGTCTGTCTCGCTGCAGCCCCGCGCTTGGCATCTCGTGCCCTGGGGGAGCAGGCTCTCCTGACGCCCGCAGAGCCCCTGGCCCTGACGCCGCCGAAGGGTATCTGAGACTCGCCCCCAGCAAGCCCCTGGTTCCACCTCCCACTCGTGCATCCCTTTGCACGCCAGCACTCGTGCACACATGTCCATGCACGCTCACGTTCCTGTATCCTGGGCCTGCTGTTCCCACCTCTGCCGTGTGGGTCAGAACGGCATCGGCAGCGCTTGGCCGGATCCCCCAACTTCTCCTGCGGAGCCAGGGGCCCGAGGGCTGGGAGCTGGGCCCTGCTGCCCAACCAGGACCCGCTGCGCTCGCTGCTGCCATGGGCAGGGGCTGGCCGCTGGAGCGTTTGCACAGCCAAGGGTGGAGCTGCTGGGCCCAGGCCGCTGTACCCCACAGGGCCTGTTCAGCCATCTGCCCCCAAGCCCACCCCGCACGTGTTGGGTTTGTGCCTATGCCCGTGCCAGGCTCGCCCAGCCCCCATGGAGGAGCCGTCCCTGGCCCCTCTCCATGTGTCCCCCCCCCAGGAGCCCTCCCCCGGTGCCTTCAGGCCACAGGAGATCCTGTCCCCGGGGTAGGCAGCAGCCCCCCAGCCCCTGCCCCTTCAAACCCTAGGAGCTCGGGACCGGCCCTTACCTTGGCCCAGGCGAGAGTTCAGGGGTCCCAGCTGCTGTGGGCTTGGCTCCGGTGCCGACTTCTCCCTCCCCAGTGCCATTAACAAGCCATAGTGCTGGCTCTGCACGTGTGTGAGCGGCCTGGCCCCCAGCCTCCAGCCCGCCTGGCATAGGGGCCCAGCGGGAAGAGCCGGGGGGTGAGGGGCTCCTCCCACGTCACACGAGGGGCACGTCTTTATGCAATAAACGGGCAGGGGGGAGGCTCTGGGGCAGGGGGCAGCGGGTTCTTGGCCAAAGCAGCCCCTGCCCGACCCTCCCCTGCCTGGCCGCAGTCCCTCGCAGCAGTGCAGAGCCGGGCTGGGGCCCTGGGAGTGACTGGTCAGGGGATCAGGCCCGTGGGCCGATTGCTTCAGGGTTCGGGGCCCTGGAGAGCCAAGCGCCAGGAATGGCTCCAAGGAGCGGCCCCTGCTGGTTGCAGTGCTGTGGCGAGAGCCCAGATGGACGCTGACCAGACGCTCCGTTGGGAATTGCCCCAGCTGTAGCCAAAGCCGCCTCGCCGGGTTCCCGGCCTTTGGCACGTAGCCTGGGGCAGGGGCCAAAAGAACTAGACATGGATTGGGCCGGACCCCGGCTGGCGTCGATCCCAGGGGTGCTGGCCACGAGACGGGTGTGGAACCAGCGTTTCCTCTCTCGGGTGGCGCCTGCCGCCGTCTCTGGGGCTGGTTCTTCAGGCAGCGCAGAGCCGGGGGCCCTCGGATCCGGGGGCCCAGTTCGCCATGGCCCTGGGCTGCCGGTGGGGAGCGTTTCCCACCCACTCCCCAAGCGTTCCCCAGGCACCGTGCAAACCGCCCTCGGTCTTGTGTTGCCCCCCAGCCGCCCCCCTGGTTTATACCCACAAGCCCCCCCACCCCACCCCCGCCTCCTTGTAGTAACATGGGAGAGAATCCAGACAAAGCCACTTCCCCCCCCCGGCCGCAGCCCCGCTTTCTCCCGGGGTGCCGGGAGCTGTACAATAGTGTAATTGCTCTACATCGTGTTTTTCCTCCTGTATAAAGAAAATCTTCCCGCGGCTCGGGGCCCTCGGGGGCTGGGGTCCAGTGTGTTTTGTCCCGGCTGTAAATCTGGGGGGAGCGGAGACGGCGGGAG